GGAGGATGAGGCCCAGAAATCAGGATTTTAAAAAGATTCCCAGGTGATTCTAACGTGCAGCCAAGGTTGAGAACCACTGAGTGTCTTTACATGGCACTTCTCATTTGCATTTACAGGTATTCTGTAGATTTTTTTAAAAGTGTACAAGAATGTAATTTTAGGAGGCTGCTATTAAAAGAAGAGGGACTGTGCTATCTCGATGTTGCAGAAGTGGTTTAGAGTCATGCAACAAAAGGAAATTAAATTAAAAAGAAAAATAGGCTTGCTGTGTTTTAATCCATAATTGTTCTCCACTGTGATCACATCTCCAAGAAAACGTCAATAGTTTGTCCATTATCAGCAATCATTTAATTATGTTTTGTAGCAAAAGCATTACTGTACTATATATGTCCTTTTGAAAATATGTGTGCGCCTAAGATTTTAGGGAAATTTGTTAAATGCTCACTGCATAGTAAGTTGAATGTTTTATCTTTCCAATAAAAATAAACTAAGCCAGTTCAAAAGGACTCCTATTCCATAGTGTCTTCAGTAGCTGTAAGGGAAACACCAACGGGTTCCAAGATTTGCTTGACAACCTCTCCCAGTTGTGATAAAGGAAAGATAAAGAGAACAGGTTAGAATCTACGAGGAAACTTTTAACCTCTGTCTGCTCCTTTCTCTCTCTCATTTTTCATGATACTTATTCTCGGATGGCAGCCCTGACCTGGCATCAGCAGGATGTACGCTTTTGAGCCGTTTTTCCAGGAGTAGAGTGGTTGTTGCAAAGCCTTCTCGTCTCTCTTCCTCCCCATCCTTCAGATAAATAGGACACTTTTGTGGCTCCTGGGGTCAAGTTTTTATCTGTGGTCTCAGAGGTTGCTTTTTTTATTTCTCTGTTTAAAAAAAATGGCTTCCTGTTAGATGAATAGAATCCAAATAGTTGGCCCTCTTAGCTTGATATTATAATTGGTTGAACTGACTGACTTCAGAAAAATATTTATTTGTTTAATGGTGCAATCAACCTTATGTTTTAGAATGGATTTAAATATCTTAGGGCATTTTTCTTAAAATTATATAAACAATCAGCTTCTTGGAGTATCTAAGATATAAAAAGAAGAATACAGGAAAAGAATGTACAATGCATTAAATGTGTTAACATCATATGACTAATCTCAGCTCTTTAAATAAATAATTTCCTTCTTGTTGATACACATTTATCCTCAGAGAATCATTTTAAAGAAGAGGCAATAGCAATAATGATAACCATAAAAATAATGATGACATTAACTGCTGTTATGACACTGTGGATTGTATCCATTCAGTTATATTTCTTCTTGTCTGATAATTTAGCTAAACACTGTACTGGAATCAGACTGTTGGAATACTATATTAGAAAATAAATGTGACCTTGTAAATTATCCTGTTAAGCCCAAATTCAAAAGGTATATATTAATAAAATCAGATGCTATTTTAAGTCATTTTTTTCACAATCTTCCTACACATGTAACTTTAGTTGATACATGTATGATAGTGTATGTAGACATACACATGTAAGATAGAATATGTGTAAAACGGTTTATATATATATACAAACCATTTTTTAAGGAAGTCTTCTTAAGTGGGTTCATGTGTAAGAAAACCAGCACAATTGTTTGTGAAATATTCCCGTAACTGTGAAGATAACAGTGTGGACAGTGTGGCAGGATTCCTCGCTCATGTTCTCCTGCTTCCTTCTGTTCAGAGAATTTGGATGGAGAGACCCGGAGCTGCCTGAAGTGATTCAGATGTTGCAGCACCAGTTTCCTTCGGTCCAGTCCAATGCTGCAGCCTATTTACAGCATCTCTGCTTTGGAGACAATAAAATTAAAGCCGAGGTAAGCGCTACTGGTTTCTCCAATGACCAGTGCCAGGAGCATCCTCAGTGAGGTTTTTAGAATAACATTACAATGGGAAAGAAATAAGAAAAGTGAAGCTTGAAAACTTTGACCCATTTAAAAGACTGAAACATAGCACTTTTCATTTAATTAATTGGTGTGCCTACCATTCACACTTCTGTTTTAATATCTGAATACTGGGGAGTAGAGGAGCAAGGATACATGTGTTAGTGTTAAGAAAGGTAAGATTGTCAACTGCTGTATTTTGGGTGTGATTTGCCTTTCTCTTCCCAATTCCATCTCTGGAGTTGTTTCTGCCTTTAAATCCTACAAAAATACAAAGCATCCTATGTTGGCTCCTCAATTTTCAACAAGATCACTACACTCAATCTATGTTATCATCTGTCCTCCCTGGAAAACTCATTAATAGGATGGGAACTTTAGGCAATAAACCAGCTCTGTGTTATAACCAAGAATTTTGAGCCATTCACAAAAGTACCAGCAAATATAATACACATATGTGTTCCATTAAGGAGACTAATGTCTGTGGCCATCATATAAACAATTTTTAGCACGCTTTGTAATTCAGAAATACGTTAAAGTGTATACATTATGGTGTGTGATATTTCAGGAAAATCATGGTGGTCAGCACAGCTAACTCTGATTTTTTAGAGGAGGGGCAAGCATTTGCATATAAGCAGCTGAGTAATCATTTAAAATAAAGATTTTGTAAATTATGAATGTAATTTCTTGCATCCATAGCATGTAAGCAATTTTTAGGATGAGTCTAAATTAGTTTAAGAGAGGAAAGAAATTTGAAGACAGAATTGCAATTTATTATAGGTTTTGCTTGCTTGCATTGGATATATATAGCCTAGCAGCTTTTCATTTTTTTCTGACTCTTCCGCTGGGACTCAAAGGACTTGATCCATGCTCAGTCTTATCAGGACAGTCAGATTTGTGGAATAAATACAGAGCAATGGTTCTCAACCAGGTGTGTTAACACCCAAGGGACATTTGACAACATCAAGAGCCATTTTTTTTATTGTCACCATTGGAGAGGGTTGTGGTGGTGCCATTAGCATCTCAGCCAGGGATGCTGCAAGGCATTCACAATACACAGGACAGCACCCACCACAGAGAATTATTCAGATCCCATGGCCAGCAGTACCAAAGTTGAGATAAAGAAAAATAGTGTCCATCTAAGATAAATTAAAAATGTCAAAACACTCCACCTATTGAACTGTCCTACAAATAAATTAAGCTTATGTGTGCCAAATGGAAGTCATCTTAATCTTTCTCTGTTTTTAATTTTTAAAAAATGGCCATTCAAAATGAAGGACAGATTTCTGCTTAAGGGACCACATACCATCATTTTTTGAAGATTACAACTTTGAGGGTTTCTCTAAGGGTCACTAAAGTATTTCATTCCATTGTTGATATAAAGTTAGTTCAGGAGTGTGTGTTACCCCCACAAAAGCACGATGCCCTCCATCTTGAAATTTGGTCTCACGTCAAGACCAATGACAGGACACACATACCACAAGGGTGAGTTACTCACATAATGAGGCTTAATGGGGTGAGCAGCGTGGCTCCCAAGCAGGACCCATTAGGCTTCTGAGAGGAAGAAAGGAGGCTGGCTCAGGATTTCCTGGTAGTTATAGGGTGTGGAGGGTGAGCAGAGTGAGGTTCCCACATGTGGACAGGGACTTGCAGAGTTTGAAGTCCCTGCTGATGCCGCTGGAGAAAATACCCGAGCTCTTTTATCAGCTTGCTCAGATATGGACAGAGGGGCAGAGGGAGAGTGAGGCTGAAAAGCTGTCAGAAGTGAAACATCAAAAATTGGAGTCCGACTCTATTACAAAAAGTCATGCTGTTGGGAAATACAGACATCGTGGCCTGGGCAGTTCACAGTCACTGGTCTGGCTGGCTCGGCTGTATGATCCATGGACTGGCCTTGAAGCCTCTCAGTGGTAGTGAAGCCTGGCAGCTGGCTGTGGACATGGGTGCCCACAGCAGAAGCACCCCAGGGCCCTACGGTGGACAACAGGCGATGCAATGAAGCAGTGACCAACACACACATCAGTGTCAACAGATGCATCTTCCGATGGCACTTCCCTGCTCACCAGCTGTGTCTCCTGAAACAAACAGCCTCAAATCCAAGTTCACTGGACCAGTAGGAAAACCTATGGACAGGGCTTTGGTCTGCTGATTTATGGACGTGAATTCTCAGCTTTGTTTTATATAATCAGACATAATTTTGAACACAGCTGAATTTCTAAGCTTCGTTATGTGAAAGCTGTACAAAGTTCTGTAATAAGGAATGAGAAAGATATGATTTATGACCTTGCAAGCCTCTTTTTTTAGCCTTTAAAAGAGCTGCTGCTACCTCCATTGTAGAGTCTTTGTAGGGACTAAGTAACTTAATGTATGCAAACTGACAGGCTCCAAACACTGCCAGGACCTCACGATAATGTTTCCCTGGCACCTGGGAGTCTGGGATGAGAATAAAGGAAAGGATGATATAGTCTGATACCAAGTTGACAAAGTGAAATGGCAGTTAGTAAAATCCAAAGGAACAGGAAAAGTGTAAAGGGCCTAAATAAAATACAAAATAAGTCATCTGGAGTTTCCCTTTCTCCTTCAGTCACATAAGGAGGACACATGTGTTCACATGTGTAATTTTGCATAGACTGATTCCGTTCTCTCATCCTCACTCAGGGCCCACATCATTAGTAATAGTCCTCTGTTTGTGACAGATGACTGCCAGTCATGTTTTCATACACAGGTATTGATTTTTGTAATTACCTGTTGTCCAAATACTAATCTTGCAGGCTCTAGCCTTTTCAAATTTACTCAGTCTTCTAGTTTTTCTATTGCATTTTATTCCATTGATTTAGCTCTTCAGTCTACATTTCATTATTGGTATTGACTTTGCTCACACAATGGATAAGCCATTGAGCAAAAAGCAGGATTAAATCTCCTAAATGTGGAGGGTCATAAATCATGTCTTTCTCATTCCTTATTACAGTACTTTGAACAGTTTTCACATAATGAAGCCTAGACATTCAGTTTTGTTCAAAATGATGCCAGATCTAATGAGAACAGAACTGAGAACTCACTTCCATAAATCAGCAGAACAAGTTTTCCTGCCGGTCTGGTGAACTTGGATTTGAGGCAGTCATCAGGGAGGTGGGACTGAGAGAGAGGACCCAGTGTGGTCAGTTCAGAACCACCTGTGACTAAGGTAGAGTCTGCAATCCACTGGCTGCCCTGACTCAGTCAGGGTAGAACACTCAGTTATACATACTTTGAAGATCAGCAAGTGTCCAAAAATTGGGATAGGATGGCATAATGCAAACAGGAGATCCCAGCCAGACTAAGATCAGAAGAAAAGCAGTTGACGAAAAATTGAAACAAGTGTGGAAGGAGGAAGCAGAAGGAGAGGGTCTGGGTCATTCCCACCAACGCACCAAGTTTGTGCAGTGCATTTTCATGAGCTAATGAATATCTGATGTGTTGATGGGTCTTCCTACTGATTTCAAAGGCAGAGCCGCGATTGGATGGATGTCAATAATATTAGAACTATGTCTGCCATATTCTATCTTCAGAATTGTTGGGGCTGTCACAATAAATTGAGCTGCAGATAATCTAGAGAGTTATTAATATGAAAACTCGCTCATGTGTCTATACTGTAGGCATTTTTAAGAAAATGCCTAAACATTGATAACTTCTTAGTATTTTTCCACAAGTCTTTCTTCATTCTATCTGGGAACTCTTCCTCAGTTATGAATTTTAAGGACATCCCATGGATTTGGGGAGGATACGAGGTGCCTGTTACGGGTTGTAATGGTTTAAGTTTATTTATGCTCCTCCCTCTTGCATCTCCCCTCATTTCTTCTCATGCACACATTAGAGCAGGTGTGCTGCTAGGCACCCATAGTCACACCTGGACAATCATACACAAACGGGAGCATATATGTCTGTGTGTGCGCTACATGGTGACATTCAAGGTGATATGTGACCTAGGGGTTAAAAAAAAGTATTTGCCTATTTTCAAATGACAAGAATGGATTACTTTTAATATTTAAAAAATTTAAATATTTTTATTTATGTTATTATAAATTTAAAAATTCAATTAGAGTTTTAAATTAATACAATAAAAATTTTAAACTTAAAATTTTAAATAGTTTTAATATGTATATTTTAAACATAAGACTATCCACTTAAATAACATGCCTTTTTTAAAAACTCTCTTATGTGATGTGACACGTGTGAAGGACTGAACTATGTTTACTTCTGTGTGATGGAAATGACTGGTGACCACCACTGATGAAGATTTAATTTACTTTTTTTGAACTGACTTCCTCTTTTCCATGAAAAATTAGCTTCATCTATCAAATATACAACCAAAATGTTCCAAGTGTTTGAAGGTCTTATACAGTAAACTTACACAGTTTGAAGATGAGAACAATTTATCTGGAAAACCATGCTAATTTTATCTTCCTAACTCCTAACAAACCTCTTATTAATTGCCTTACCATCTTACTTCCAAAAAATCACTTTTTGTTTTTAAAGAAATGGAATTTTTAGTTCTAGTGGGAAAAAGAGTTTTGTGTTTAGCAGGGAAATCAAATATTAAGAATGTATAGATCAGGGGTTCTCAATCTTCTGGCCCTTTAAATACAGTTCCTCATGTTGTGACCCAACCATAAAATTATTTTTGTTGCTACTTCATAACTGTAATGTTGCTACTGTTATGAATCGTAATGTAAATATCTGATATGCAGGATGGTCTTAGGCGACCCCTGTGAAAGGATCGTTCGACCGCCAAAGGGGTCGCGACCCACAGGTTGAGAACCGCTGGTATAGATCCTATCTTAAGGCATCTACAACTACCTGGAAAGACAGGGCACTATCACATCAGGTGTTCAGCCCCTGGTAGGGCAGGTCCCCAGCCTGTGACAGTGCTTAGCACAGCTCCAAACCCAGCCTCGTGG